AATAAATATATAGAGTATGGAAATATATAGCTGCATAGATAACTATAAAAAAAAAATACATTTTTTATTAAAGTTATATTTTATTAAAAGATTTTGTTAATATAATCTCAGATAAATGCAATGGCACCGAATAATAAATATTTATTCATAGAGAATAATAAAAGAAATCTCCAGAAATTATAAAAATATAGAAAATAAATGTTAAAATTTCATAGGTTACTCAAATAGATACCCTAAAAAATAATATTATAAAAATAGAGAAACAAAAATATTTTAAAGATAGAGAAAAAATGATCTAGAATTTTTAAATAAATTTGTTACAATTTTTCGAAATTTTACATAAAAGATTTGGCTTGGCATATTCAACTCTAAATTCAGCCTTAAGCTTCTTGCTTCTTTATCTTTATCTTTCAGTTATTTCAATCGTCTCTAGCTGTAAGATATTTGATGCTGATAAAAATGCGCAACTTTCCTTCCGAAAGCATTTATGTTTTACTCCAGCAAACACAAGAAATATTTGCATAAAACCCAACAAGACTTCTAGTTATATAAAACTTTATAGTTATATAAATAATGAATAGCTATATATGCGCATAACACATTATCTCTTGTCCAAGAGAGATCTGCAGCAATGCCAATTCTAATGACCAATGGAAAACCTTTCTTTGTTGTGCTTTAAGCCACATAAAACAAAGAAAAGACGAGTTTTTATAGCTTCCGTTGGTTAAGACAAAATCATTTTTTTTTTTCCTATTGTAATACCTGTTGAGAGATCACTAAAATGCAACAAGGCTGAAGAAAACAAATAGCTGAAAACAATTCAAATAAATTGGCCCATAAATTGCCGCTGTTTGTGGCGACTGTCGAAGTTTCTGGCTGAGACCGCACAGGGCGGCTGGCACGTGCAATGGCATAGCTTCTGGGCATTTAGGCAATCCGAAAATATATATGTGTGTGTGTGTAGTTATTTGCACGTTTCACTTTCGTTTGCACTACAAAACAATTGTGGCACGCGACGTGTAGCCGGCTGGGCGTGGAGGGGCACGAAGGGTTTAAGCGGCGTACCACATGTTTATGGTTTTTTTTTTTTACTTTTCAGTTTTTTTTTTCGACTGTCAATAAATACGGTTAAGAGCCAAATAAATAAACATGAAGCGCAGACACATGCTTATATATATATATATTATGACAATAAAGAAAAAGTGAGTTTTGTTTGGTTGTTGCTTTTGTTTTTGTTTTCTTGACACTTTCGCGACTTTGCTGGCCAATGCGTCGGCTACGTGATTTTAGCCACAGCCAAAGGCTAAGAAAAAACGTTGAACGGACATTGCCTGCGTTTATTGTAATTAGAAAGTATTTAATTTCGCAGACGAACAAAAGAAAATCAGAAATGATAAACAATATATATATACCTATATATATGTATGTATATATAGATAAATTCCATATAAATATGTGTGAGGCAAGTTTCGCTTTCATGTTTTGATTTTTGCCAAAATGACAACAAAATGCGGCACATTAGTTTCGTTATGGTCATGTGCCACACTCACACACACATACACACAGAGAGAGACATTGGCTTGATGGATTGTTGCCCATGTTGATGATGGCCCATTGAAAGCGAAAAGCGCGTTGCTAACATTTGTCATAAGCAGCAACAGAAGCAGCAGCAACAACAGCAGCAACAACAACAACAACAAATCTGCTCTGCCCTGGTCTGCTCAACTGTCTAGCTGCCTATGTAAATAGATAAACCAGGTTATTTTTCTCTTGTTAGCCGAAAATTTCACTTAAGTGAAAATTGGGTTGAGTTCGTCTTGTTAAGATCTTTATCTAGATGGCTCTTTGTGTCAATGGGTCGACTGCAGAGGAGCATCCGCTGAGCTGCACAATAAATCGCTTCAACATTATTGACAGACGTCTTTGGCGCTAGCTCTATTGCTATCTCTGTCTCGCACAAATTGCATGCCACTTGATGAAGATGAAAACAAAAATCAAATTTCCAAATAATTAGAGCATGAAAATAAACAGCAAATTGCGTTCGATGTGTGTGTGTGTGTGTGTGTGTTGGCTGATAAATTTCTATTTGCCTTTTTTGGCAGCTGCTACTTACCTTTACAGCTACAGCTGCTGCAAGTGGGCAGCTCTATAGCTTCGATATATCTTCCTCTCTCCCTCTCCCTCTCTCTCGCTCTCTATTAATGCTTGAAATTTGGTATTAATTTGCTGAATTATCAGGCGCCACTCGCGTATTTGGGGCCAAAGGTGGGCGTGGCTGGCAGTGCAATGAACGCGTTTAAAAATTTCACTTGCTGCTATTTGTACAAAAAATATCTCCCACTTTGATGGCACAACAAAATGCAGTAGCAGCTTCAATAGCGGCAACAACACTTAAGCAACTCGTTCAGGAAGCGCACGCACTTTCAAACCGCTCTGGTACCACTGTGCACTAGTTAATACAGTTTTACAATTTACAGTTAACAGTGAGCGCTTGGCTTGGCTGTCGTAGTTGGGTTTGTTTCTCTTAGCCGGAGCTAACGCGTCTGCATCGCTGGCGTGCCGTTAACAGACTGAAGAAATGAAAAGCGTCTGTGGCCAAAAGTAAGTAAGAGTGGTTTGTGGTTTGCTTTTCAGCCAGCGGCGCCGACGTTGACCGCGCCGTCGGCATCGGCATCGGCAGCGACGCGACGCGACGCGACGCTTAAAGCGGCTTTGTGTAGCTGCAGCTTTTAGCCAGGCCACAAAAACTGTACCGCACACACACACACACATGCGACAGAGGCAGACACACACACACCCATACACTAGTAGCGCACAAAAGACTTAGGCAACAAACTTGCTCGCTCTTCAACTGTTCTTCTGCCACAGGAATTCGTTGTTGTTGTTGTTGTTGTTGTAGGCGACCGGAAAATTAGTTCAAAGCTATAAATGTCACCTTAGCTTAGTTGGCGAGACTAACTTCTGTAACTCTGAGCAGAGTTTTTTCATTTTTTTTTTTTAGCGGTATTTTGCCATTGTCGCCAAGCTAAATCGGCTAAATCGATTATTGCATTTGGCTCGAAATCAACTCTGGCTGCATTTGTGGCATTTCATGAATCATGGGCTGAGACCCCGCCAACATTGGCCGCTATAATGGAAATATACTTCTCTATATACTTACTATATTGACTCATTGCCACGTCTAAGATCCGTATATCAAGCTTTAATGGGATTTCGCTGCTGGCATGTGGTACTCAAGGTCGTCTAGCGAGTCAATTCTGTGTTACATAAATTCCATTGTATTTAATTAGGTTGTTTGTTGTTTGCTGTACTCTCTGCACTTGGTTCATGCTGTGCGGGCAGCAGCCCTTGTGTGGGGCATAAGAAGTTGGCTTTGAATTCGGTTTCATTTAAAGATATTCCATTGTATCAGAATTGGTTTGAAATTAAATTGCAATTCAAAGCGCGCATAAATTGGGGAAGTTGATCTTGAAGAAGCTGAAACTGAAGCTGGGGTTAAGGTTTTTTTTTTTCTCTTTATTTAAAACTACTCAGCTTTACTTGTTGAGTCATGTTGTTTATATTGTTAATCAAAGAGCTTCCGTTGGCTTATAACTTAAACTTGTTTGACAGTTTTTAATTACGTTCTTAGATCTTGACATTATGTAAAAGAAAAGCAAGTATAATTAGCAGAAGACTCTAAACACAAAAGACTTGAAAAGTAGTTAAACTTGAATTACAGATTAAAAATTTCTTTTCAGCAATATATATAATTTATAATATTATTATATAAAATAAAATAGTATTATACAAAAGTAAAATCGAATTTAAAATTATAGAAATTTAAATGTTCAACTAAAATAAGTTCTCTAAACTTAGAATAATATTTAATAAAACAAAAAAAAATTAATAAAATAAAAAAAAAAAACAACAATTATTATAACTAAAATGTAATAGTATACACCCAAAATAAATTACGCTATAAATTAGCGTAATAATAAAAAATAATAGTTTGTAATAAAAATAAATGGAAATAATACAAATTAATAAACTAGCCTAAAATATAAAAGCTGTTTAGCACTAGCTAACACTTTATAAGAACTGCAAAAAATATTCCCAGCATAAATAAATTCAATAAACTAAACCCACATAAATCTAATAAAATATTTCCGCTATTTTGATGAAATCAAAACTAGAGTCAACGGAATTTTTTATAAAGTCTTTAAAAATAATATGATATATAAATTAGCTGCCAGACATTGTCAGAAATTATGTGCACATCATACTATATAGTTCGATTAATCTCTGTAGCCAAACTGTAAAACCTTCTAAACACCCTTAACAGCCTTCGCTTATAATGTGGCTTTGTCTTGTCAAGAATTTTGGCCTTAGGCAGTTCTGTACTTCTCTCTCAATAAAGCAATTAAAATATTCTCAGAGCAAAGTTTTGTCTTAATTTCCGCTATCAAAGCGGTTGCAATTGTTTTGGCTAGACTTTTATAGATCGTGGAAATTGAGTTAATTAGCATATGCACATATACATATATACACACATACATAGTTATATAGAGATATATTTATGTGTTCATACGCTACAGTCTATGCAAATTGTGTGTGCATTAGGTAACGACTCGAAGCTGTTTCTGCAACTTGTCAAAATTTGTGTTGGTCAAAGACGCAAACCATCAACGGGCTGTGGCTTGCGGCCTGTGGCATGTGGCATGTGGCAAGCATGTAATTCATTTACGGGATTTTCTTCTTCTCTTTGAGACGCTGAAAGCATTGCAAATGCCTAAATGAGAGTTGATTAGTTTTGAGGCAGTGTATGTAACAGCCAGAGGCGAGATGATGAGGACGCTGAACTCACAGCCATGTAGAGCTCTCTCTCTCTCTCTCTCTCTCCCTCTCTCCCTCTATCTCTCTCTCTTCTGAAGTGTTTTTCTCCAGCTTTTGCCTCTTTCATAATATTCTCTGTATGTTAAATTCTATAACTATGTATCTGTCTCTCTTTCACTGACTCTATTATTTTCTTTATTCTTTAAGCCTGCCCAACTTACCAACTTTATCTAAGCATCCCTCTCTCTCTTTCTCCCTCTCGCCGACTTCCTCTCTAGTTCTCTCCCTCTCCTCTCTCTCTCTCTGTCTCGCTCTCTCTCTTCTCTCTCTCCCTGTCTCCTTCTCTATCTCTCATCCACTCTCACTTTATCTATCTCTCATGCTGAGCTCCTTTTTGTATATAAATATCACTGCTGATTGCAGGGTATCTGCCAGTCATAGACCCCCTCCCTTGAGCACTATTACCTGTTTGATAATAGACTTGAACTACGCGGCGTGCATTCAAGCGTAACGGCACTTCCGCTCTGCAGCTCTGAGTCCATTGTCTAGAAGCAGAACGAAACACTTTCGTTTTTATAGCTCAACGAGCAACGGCAGCAGCAGCAATTGAAGCCAATTGGCGATGCATTTGCTGACCTTTTCACAGGTGTTTATTGCCCTGGCAAATGGCGCTCACACGCCCAAATGCCAACAATGACAACAACAACTACAACAACAGCGACAATAGCGACCTTCAGTATTCGTTTATATACTTTATGCTTAACTCAGTTATTTTGCTGGTATTATTTCCCTGCTATTTTTCCCAAGCATTTTCCAAGACGTATGCGGAAAAGTTTAACAAATAAATTTGCATAAAATGCGAGCCAAAATGCTCCAGTTCAGCCGCTAAAGCAAAATCTTTTCCCACAGCTAATTGAGTTATGTATCGCATTTAATTTGTGGTAGAATTTTGTTTCAAGTATATTTTGAATTAAATTTTGTGCCTTTTCGCATAATAATATTGGCGTGCTGCGGCGGCTGATGCAACAGTGACATGCCTGACGACGCGTCGGCTGGCCAATTATTATGCAACATCCCAACTGGCCAACAGACCAGATTTGGCCAGGAGACGCATCGACGCATCGAGGCATCGAGCCATCGCGAATGCCGTCAGCCATTTCTCGAAACTAAAACAACTTTTTGTGTGATTTCATTTTCCTTTTTGTTACTTTTTTTTGAGTGTGTGTGCACCTGCAACAACTCCCGCCCCCCTATGCAGCCTCAACTCTCTATCTAACTTTGGCTTGGTGCCAAAATGCCTTGCAATCGCCATATATAGAGTATATGGGACTCTTTGAAAAACACTTCCTGCTGCTGCTGCCTGTGGTCAACTCAGCCTGAGATCTGGTCGTAAAATGGATTACAAGTGCGCCCCAGAGACACCACACAAGGCACACACACACACATACATGGGTTTCTGGTTTAGTTTGGTTTCCTTCCTTATGTCTTGGATTTGGGTTAGCTAAACATTTATTCAAGTATCATTGGATTGTCGTCGTTGTTGTTGTTGTTGTTGTTGCACTCTAATATGGGGCATGCCTGGCACATGCTGTGGCTTTGCTACCAGTTTTTCTGCAAGTGTATTCCTTTTAAAGACGCTTTATGACTGGGCTCTTTTGGAGCATTCATTTCCTATAGTTTTGGGCCGAACGCTGTTGGTTATTGGGTAGAAAATATTAAAGAGAAATTAACTGAAATTATGAAATATAGTTGCTATAAAATTATATTGCTACAGGTAGTCAAAAATAAGGAAAA